GTTTTTTTAAGGATATAGTCCAAATTTATCTCTGCTAGGCGTTTAAAAATGTTTTTTCTTTTTTTAAAATGTTGACCTGCAATCATTCGCATAGTAAATGAGTAAAAAATTTTTGTGACTGTTTTTTTTTTTTATTTTTTCCATAAATACCACCAACATTAGAACAAGTTATTTTGAATTCTTATGAAAGACTTTTCTTCTACATTGAGTTAACATAATGAAAAAGCTTCTCCAGTACAGTTTAAGTCACAACTCTTTTGGAATTAAGTTGAAAATGTTACATTTTCTGTCATACACTATTATGAGAAAAAATACAACTTTTAAAAAGAAATTAAAAGTCAAATTTTGCTTAGGATCATACAAGAAGAACTAAGACATGGCTTGAAAGGCAGCAGAAAACATATTCAAACCTCCAACCAAATTGAGGCAGGTTCCCGAACTCTCAGCAAGCTAACAGATGACTCCTGCGTAAACAAAAAAAAAAAACCACATTATTGTCCGAACAAAAATCAGGGACAAAAGAACTAGACACCCATCAAAGGGGAATCCTGATCAGTGTACAAAAGAAATCTAAAAAAAAATTAACATATCAAAAATAGATAAAATCAAATTTGGCGAGCGATAGCGAACCCCGTTACCCCAGTGGGGTTGAAAAGTTTTGTCTGTCTGTCTGTCTGTTTTGTCTGTCTGCGTGTGTGTGTGGTGCACTACTCCTCCTGAACGGCTCGGCCGATTGGCTGAGACTTTGCAGGTTTTTAGGTATGTTCTTGGCTCGGCACACGCGAAATTTCACTATCCTAGCTCAACTGGTTCAGTTTTTATAGCCGAAAAACACCTAAAAAACGGCGAAAAATGGAGTTTTCTGCAGGTAGATCACCTCTGTCTTGAAGGAAGGGGGGTCTGGGGGGCGGACCCCCCAGCCTCGACAGATTAAAAAGTTACAAGGGTCAAGATCGTGTTATCTGTAGATGAAGCAACTCTTTCTAGAATTAAGGGGGGTCGGGGGGGCAGACCCCCCCAGCATGCAACACGTAAGAAGAAACCCGACGATGGACAAGCCAATGCCTCCCAAAGGCAGGCTAGCGCCGCAGGCCAAGGTAGGTACGCCAGGCGCGGATTGGAGGAACGGGCCGCGAGATATCGCGAAGCCTTTTACGACAAGACGCGGTCTGGCGTAAACCTACCTTGTACAGTTACACTATGATCAGAAAGAGTCTGCAAATGCCCATCCATTATGGTAGCAAAACATTATAATCTACATCATGGTCCTAAAAGTAAAAATTTTAAAAAATTGGCAGTAAAATATTCTGCTCTAAGGGCCAAAGACATCTAACAATAAGGATGAGAAAGCAACCTTATTGCTAACTCACAAACAGAAATAAAGTTAATCTGTGATCGAAGCTTGCTCTGTAGCATCTGATTGTTACCATCTGTCCTTCGACCCACGATTTTCTTTCAATCAAAACACATTTTTTAAAGATAAGTAAAAAGGACTCAGACATGGATTGCAAGCACTTAGAATAACATTAAAAGACAGCACATGGAATGTCAAGTCAAACTAGGTCTTGAACAAAAGCAGACCAACACATTTAAAAAAGCCAAGTTATTTTTCAAAATGGTTCATTTATAACTTTATTGCATGCCAGGGTCTCAAACTTTGATCTAAAAAAACTGAGAGTGTGGAAGGTTTCTGTCCAAATTTAATAGACCTTCAAAACATGCAATGTAATGTGATACACATAAGAATCGACATTTAGAAGGGATTTCAAAATATATGGGACCAATTCTTTCTCCCTTTCTCTTGAAGGCGACAGCAACCTTATGGCTAACTCACAAACAGAAATAAGCTTACCTTTGTCATCAATTTTGCTTCAAGTGTTGTCATATGATGCCGCTTTCCCCAAAAAGCCAGTGGATTTGCTGTCTTGAGACACCTTTCCCCTTTTTGGTTTGCTTTCATGAAGTTCTGTTGCCTGTTGATATAATCAAAATCATAATGCAATTGGCAATTTAAAACTTTACATTACGAACAGTAAGGTAAAAAAAAAAGAAAACACCACTCTTACCTTATCTGTGACAATCCATAACTTCTTCCAGATTTTTTTCGTTGGTACTGCAATGATAATGCTCGAAAGGGGTTACTGGATCAATTAGAGACCTGCTGGCTTTGAAATCTTTGTCTGCCAGCTCTGCAGTGAACCTAATGATATATTTAAAACTGTTTGAGGGCAGTGGGATACTCTCATTTTTCCTTTCACACCATAAACAAATTCCACTAACTTTTGTAGGAACTGCACACTTACTTGGACTGGGTGCCATGAAATTCCTCCAGACTGTTCAGCACGCAGGAAGGCCATGGTGTAATGAACAGACTCCTGAATAAACAACAACAAACAACATCACTTTGGTTTCTTTATTCATCCTAAAATTTGAAGAGCTTCTATTATTTAAAACCACAACCAAATAGAGGGGTGGCTGACTTGGGTTTGGGATATATGAGTGAGAATGTTATCTATCTACTAAGACAATAGCATTTTTGCCTCTCCATCAGATTGGAGTGTGAACCTCCTACTAATTATCTCCAAACTGCGCAATTGATGAAAACAGCCATTGGAGTCCGTACACAACATTTTGTTAAAATTAAAATTTATTTTGGGGTAAATTCATGATACAGTAACTCAATGTTGGTCAAAATATAATCAGGAAAAGTCTGAGAAGAGTCTCTCCAAAGTTATACAAGAAAAAAAATATCAGGAGTTCTGTAAAATTTGGGAATGGGGAACGGGGACTTAAATTTTAACAATTTATGATAATTTCTAATGAAAGGCTAGAGACAATACTATTGCAAAGCTTCTCCATCAGAGTTAAAGCCTTAACTTTAATAATTTGGTTCAAAAGTTTTAAAACCTATGTAACAACTACTTTGAAGAAAAGTCATAAAAAATTTTGCTAAACTTAGATTTTCTCCAGCTTAGTAGCAGCATTTACACACTAAGACCCCTAGGGAGATGATTAAATTAATGCGAATATCAAAACAACTAAAGTGATAATTTAAACCCTAAGCGAAAGATAAAAGCAAGCCCTCAAATTTTAAAAGGTGGCTGATGAAAGCATAGAAATGGATTTTGTTTTCCCAAAAATGTTCCTTGCTTTTGCACTTCAGATGTGTTAAACTATCATCAGTTTTTTTTCAAAATAAAGAAAGTGGCAAGAAAGGGAAAAATTGCCAGAGCCACAGGGTCTTGCTTGACAGAGAAATCTCAGCCTCAACACTTTCGTTGATGTACTCTTCAAGCTTGCTGACTCTGTCGTCTACATTTCCTCCTCTGGATTTTCCACATAAGCCAACATAAAAGCACGCAATGATTCATGGCTGGCAATATCTCCCAGCCACAACTCTTTGCAGTCTTTGCCTGACAACAGGTCAGCATGAATCAAAAACAAAGATTGCCTTTGCAAAATAGGCCACATAGCAAAGACCTTCCTCCCGTCATTTGCACTGCGTGCTGAGTTAAAATGAGTCACTCAGACAAAGAAAAATACTTAAGATCTAAACAAGACTGATAAGCAATGACAAAAGGCAAAGCAATGACATATATAAAATACATAAGGCCTGACTTTGGGTTTGGGAAAGAGTGAGATGTTATCTATTTACAAAGACAATAGCATTTATGCCTCTCCATCAGATTTGGAGTGTGAACCTCCTACTGATTATCTCCAAACTGCGCATTTTATGAAAGCAGCCCTTGGAGTCTGTACACAAAATTTTGTTAAAAATTAAAAATTTTTTGGGATAAATTCATGTTGCCCGAATAGTTGCGTAGCTTCCTTCAAAAATTTAACAAAATGTGTTGCGTCTTGAACTCTGCATTCTGAAAGAAGAAAAGATGAAAAACATGACAAAGGAAAGCAGTGGGTGAGTAATGAGACATGCTTTCAATATCTACTTACCAAGATTTCGAGCTTTTCAATAGAACTAAGATGGATATCGGAGGACTGATGAGAATGCAGCAGTCGGGTCGTGGTCCACCAAATGTAATAGGAGTAATGAAAAAGTCTTCCTCCAAAGTTGGGAAGCACAATCAAGAAGTGACTTCAGTCATTCCAAAGCAACAGCTTTTTTATTCAAACAAAGCTCAAAAAGGGGAAAAAAAAGTTACACAGTTAGCTGCAAAGATCAAACTATGAACTGGCAAAAAGTTGCAACCCCCCATTTAAAGATCTTAAAGGGGAGTTTCTCTCATGTAAAGCAAAGATGCTGCTAGCAGTGACTTTTTTTTTTTATTAAAGTGATACTTGTTTTTCAAAGATCTTTAACAGTATATATGAACTGTGATGAACTCACCTGTTGGTGGAAAGCCCCAGAGAAGAACTCTGCAGTAAATTAAGTATTGGCAGAATATTTGTCGCTACAGTTGAATCAGAACTTTCCTGGTTGAATGCAAATTGTACCTGGAACCAAAACAAAAACAAGAGGTTAGGATGAAGAAGTTCCCACAGACACCTGAAGTCACACAGAGGAAAATGCCACTCAGCAACGAAAACACTGCTGATTAATAACCTCACCGAGAACTGATGGCTTGATTACATTTGGACAAATTAGAACATAGAATGTTTTTTTCTCAAGCTCGCAAACGAAAACGTAAAATGAAAACAAAGGCATGTCACTCACGGCCCCCCGGTAACACGCGAAAACGTTCTCTCGCGTCTAGCAGCCGATTGAAAAAAAAAAAAAGTTGACACTTGGACAGAAAGCAGAAAGTTTTGTCAGGAAATTTATAAACAGCTTGTTTTGTTCTGCTCCAAACATACTCAGCACATAGTTTGTATTTTTTTAAACTTAGCTTGACGGCAAGAACCACGGTAGTTCAAACGTGGTTGAATTCTGTCCTTTACTGAACTCTTGTGAAGAATAACCTCAAGGAGTACTGCTTATGTGAACAAATTCTACCGATCTGAGTGGATATTTACATATCTCTGTAGTCTCAGTTCGTGTTGTATGTTGGTTTCGTGCTTAGGTTAATGGCCTGTCTTACATTTATCTCTTCTCTTGAATGCTCAGGTTTTGTCCCCTCTTCTTTCCTCAGGAAATGAGTTTTGACATTGCCGAGGACATGGCCAAAGCGGAACTGAAGTACCAAGAGCCAGCTTTGGCTGGAGAAGCATACGAGGTATCACGCACCAATTTCATAATCATAATAATGTGAGTAAATATTCTAGTGGCATTTTATTTTGCTACCGTTGACATCTGTTTAATTTCAGTGTGAGGAGACACTATCTCTGCGTTCTATGGAAAGGATGTTGTGACGGCAGTTTAAGCGTAGTTTAAGTCTCAGACCTTTATTCTTGTTTTCAAACCTTTGAAGGAATCTCTTAACCTTAAATATCTTGAGATATAAGCGTCTGCTGGTCCTGCCAGTGTCATTTTTGGGAAAATTGCCTGTCTTACCTTAATCTCATCTCACATCTCACAGATGGCAAGCAGAGACCAAAAAATATAGGTATAAGAACTATAGATACCCAGTTGCCTAACAATGAATAGTGTTTTATGCTTTATCGTTTCAGAACCAGGAAGCTGCTGCTCTCAAATCAGAGCCCACAGAACCACCTCTTGAAATGACATCAGAGGTAATTTTCAGATTTTACCTGTCCCTATCCATTTATTTGATTTTTAATGAGTCTGTTTGTTCCCATATCCTCTCAGGTCATTGATGACATGAAATTTATAAAAGTTGAAGAACAAACTCACAACGAGCAAATAAACTGCCTATGGAGTAGGCCTCGAAGAAGGAATGGCGGTACTAACCTTTCCATAGCAAAAGTCAAGGCAATAGCAAGCGAATATGCAAACACCAGCAACGCATTTTCACACCGTTGGTTTACAGCATTGTATCCTAGGGGCCCTATCATATCATGCCCCGGCTGTCCGCTACCTGTTGAGTTTGGTCCTTCTGCGTTCCCATAGACAACATAGGGACTAGACAAGAAATGGCAATAAAAAGACGGATTTTTATTGCCCCCCCTGTGGCGTCCGAAAACGCTCGAGATCCGGAGACGGCCAAAGGGGGTGAAGCGAGGGTGGCGGGGACTTTTACCACCGGGAGGAGGGGGCCCCCCCCCACCGCCAGCTGTGCGCCGCTCGGGGCTGGCTCGGAGTCCCGGAGAGCACGAGCGGATAGGCGAGCCGAAGGCGAGCCGAGCTCTTCGGAGCTTCCCGAAGTACACCACGTACACCGGTCATAAAAACCCCCGCCCCCCTCGTTCCCCTCTGGTGTCTCCGGGACTGCTCGCCTCGGACGCCACAAAGGGGGGCAAAAAACCCGGACGGGCCAAAAGCACGGCAGCATAGGCTGGCTTCTCGTCTAGTCCCTATGTTGTCTATGTGCGTTCCTAACACTGCTCCAGCACGTTGCCTCCTGTCATGAAGAGCATTCCAAAGAAATGTATACAGTAATTATCAATAAATACTTTTCTTTCATACAATACATGAAAAATATTGTACGTAACAAGACTAAAGAAAAATATGTAAAGAAATTAAGGAGTCATACACAGTCTCAGTAATGACAGCATGAAATTGTGCATTGTGAGAAAATGTCTATTGGAGATTCTAAATGAATAGGGTATTCCGATGGAACTGAACCGGAACCCCGAGCAGTAGAAATATCTGGATCCGGTATGAGAAATCAGGTGTGCGGAGGACTGAAAGTATGCAAAATCGGGTGTGCGAATGACCTCCGCACACCAGATTTCTCATACCGGATCCAGATATTTCTACTGCTCGGGGTTCCGGTTCAGATCCATCGGAATACCCTATTAAACCATATTAATCACTCCACACTCGAGGGAATACTGGGATGGAGTGGCAGGTGCTGGCATAAGAAAATAAGGCCTGTTAAGAATTTGAAGACATTTTGATTCATAATTTAAATGAAGCATGTCCAATAATACAGAGAAGAGGGAATAACAAAATAAAAACATGATACTGGAGTAAGGAGTCTCAAAGTTTAGAGGCTTTTGAGACTGTTTTAAGATTTAAAACAATGTATGATTTAGGAGAACTTGAGGAAACAAATATACTTTTAAAAAATTGGAAACTATAGCACTAAAAAAGACAGACTTTCTGAACAAAATTAACTTTAGTAACAAATGTTTCCAAAACTAACTATATGTGCTTCTCACCCAGAAAAGATAACAGTACCTTGAATATAAGTGTTAATCAAGAAGTAGTTGAACAAGCTTATAATACAAAATTTCTCGGGATCCATGTGGATGAAAATCTAACGTGGAATGTTCATATTGATGCACTAATTTCTAAAGTAAGAACTGGTGCTCAAACAGCTTTCACAATGTGTATTACAATCCACTTGTACTAAAAGCCCACATTGCCCTTGTTCTCAGTCAATGAAATGTTCATATGGCTTATTTCCATTCAAGATTACTGTAAGCTAAGCTAAGCATAATAATTATCATCTAAGAAATGTAATGATTTCCATGCTGCCTAGCACTCTCTTATTCTGCCAGCCAGGCCTCTAAAAAGAAACTGTTCAGACTGCAGAAAACAGAACTGAGAGTGGTGCTGAAATACAATACAATACAATAGATGTGTTTTCAATCAAAAGAAATTGTACCTACTGTAACATCATTCAGCCATTAACATACAAAGGTACAGGTTTTACCATCATTAAATTGTATCTTTTAAAAGGGAAACATTTTAAGAAATGTACATAACACGTTATTGATGTCAAATTCTGTTAAGCAAATATCAAACAGAAAGGTAATCTATAGCAGCCATTACATTTCTCTGAACATGTGATCAATTTCCTGCAAAAGACAAGCAGACTTTACAATAGGTTTGTGTGTTAAATGAACATGCCTGATAATAGCGTCTTTAGTTGGTTGCTGGACAGAAGAAGAAGTGAAGGTCTTTCCGCACTGAGGCACCGGGCAGCGGTATGTTTTTTTGACCTGAGTCTGATTGTGAAATTCGTCCTGTAAAACACGAGAAAACAGAAAAATTACACTTCTGCTCTAAATGATCGTAACATTAATTCAAGAAATGGTTTTCTTAATACATTGTGAATATTTAATAAATAGGTGAATGAACTGTGTAGTCTATATGTAAGTGGATATTTAAAAAAATTATTTAGTGTTGGTATGTTTAATTTTCGCTCTTGAAACAAAAATTGTAAAATCTGACTACCCACAAATATGCTGATTTCAGTTAAACTTAAGAAAATAAAGCATTTGTTATTACAACCTGCCCGTTCTTTTTATTTTATCTTGGACCATTTCAATCCTTCCAGCATTACCCATGTTACCACAATGCCACCATTTAAAACTGAATGGAGCAAGTCTTTTCAGAATGCAGCCACTAATGGTGTCATGTTGATGTGTACATGATGGGGATGGGGCCTGAAGTTATAAGTGAGAATTAGTAATAAGAAAACAACAGGCTAAGCATATCACATGGATATTCATTCACTTACAAGCATGTACACCACTGTGCATTTATTCCCCATGGTATCCAGGACACGGTTGCAATGTTGACTGCCTGTGAGAGAGTCTCATTAGAATCATGCAAGCTGTTGGAATTCAGCCATTGAAAACGTCAGTATAAAGGATTCTACCTGTGCAATATTAGGCCCTGTATTGAAGCCGAAATGTGGGGTTCCTGGTGCCAAAACCACCAAGTCTCCAGGTTTTTGGACGATCTGGGAAAGTAGAACGAAACCATAAAAAACACAACTTATAATTATATTGCATCATTAGAGTCCATGATGAAATTTGTACTTACAATTTTGAAGGGGATGTGGTGTTCTGACATCCAGTGTACTGTTGGCAAGAGAGTCTTGTGCCCAAGAATTTCCGACATTGAGATTCGACCGTGAGTGAGCACCTACTGAGATGGTACTCTAGCAAAGCTGTTGCCACAGGGGGAACCACCACCCTGTTAAAAGAGTCATAGTATACCAACAATGCATAGAAATTTCAGAATGTCACCCATACAGATACATACCAAATCTTGGGATGGCCCAAAAAAAATAATTTTAAACTCCAAAGATAAGCATCTTCAACGTGGATAGGAAAACAACTGTGGGTGGTTCCAAAATAGAGATACGGTGTTTGTATTCCTGGGTAGTAGTGTGGCAGGAGCCATAGTAAACTGTAAAGTCTACTCAAACTTAAATTTTTGTTATCGAAATAGGTGGCTGGTACATCAATGCCATACCCTAAAGATTTCCCTTTCTGTGCCAACTTGAATATCTGAGTTCAGTGTATGCAACCCACTTCAGCACAGGTTTTGGCACCCTCCGTTTATGCTTCCAAGTAAACCGGTATCCTGGTTATGTATCATGTAAATGTTCAAACGTTTGTGTATCCTCTAAAAGTACCCGGCTCCTGTATTCTACTACATCATGAACAGTTTGTGTCAAAACGTCACTGTAAAGATGTTTGAATAACCCCTCTAATCCATTCTTGTTTATCTCCTCAGAGCTGTAACGGAAAGAATGAAAAGAATGGCCATAAGTGAAAAAACGCAATTAATATTTTGAACTAAAATAATATTAGACTGTGGACATACCAGCAAGTACCAGTTGTGTAGGAGTCTATCTGTCTCGCTGGTTGCTTGAAAATACTGCGTAGAGATGCCAGTTTTGTGTTAGTCAAAAAATACAGGCCGTCTCAAGACATTTTGACAACCTCTGCACTGAAACCTCATCCAGGTTTTGTGTCACGCATGAATCAACAAATTTCTGCTCGGTTTGTGGCGTAAACCCGTACCTGTGCATGTATGGAACTTGGTCGCCCTGGCCGAGAGGGGGAGCCTCAAGGCGCACATATACCCGATCGGGTGCACTATACCGGTACGTGTGCGGGAAGTCCCTCGGAACCAACACATGTACGATATGGCCGACACCCGCTCATGCAGGGTGTATGCGCACATATGCGGGTCTAGAAGGGGTTTTGAGGGGGCTTGGCCCCAAAATGCGTACAAAGCGGGTCTTGGGACCCATCCGGGCCAAAGATCCAGGTGCACAAGAACCCGTACGGAATACCAGCACCTCTTGCCCGACCCGCCAATGCTCGGATCTGGGTCCCGAGACCCGCTTATGTACGCATTTTGGGGCCAAGACCCGCTCATAGACCCCTTCTAGACCCGCATATGTGCGCATACACCCGTGCATGAGCGGGTGTCGGCCATATCGTACATGTGTTGGTTCCGAGGGACTTCCCGCACACGTACCGGTATAGTGCACCCGATCGGGTATATGTACGCCTTGAGGCTCCCCCTCTCGGCCAGGGCGACCAAGTTCCATACATGCACAGGTACGGGTTTAGAGTCCCCAGGGAAGGGCCTAGAGGAAACTAAACCCGTACCAGTGCATTTGCAAAGAGGTATATATGCGGGTCTGCTTGGTGTAAAAAAGCACAAGATTTAAAAAAATAAACAATTTATTTATGCGTTTAAATAAATGTTTCTAAAGACTTAACATTTTGCTTAGGATCATCACAATTAGAACGCAAAGCGTTGAAATAAATCTTGTCAAACATTAAACATTTGGATTATCACAATTAGAACGCAAAGCGTTGAAATAAATCTTGGCAAAGATTAAACATTTGGATTATCACAATTTGAACATTTACGCATCAGTACTAGTACTAGGAAGAGCAGCATGAATAAATTCATAGAATTAAGGGTGCATGAATGAATTTATAGTACAGAAGGAAGCCTAAGGCTTGGAGAAGTGGCAGGAGATTCATGACACCACCGGAAGGTCAGCCTTTGGGGATGGAGTGCAGAAAACAGTACGGTGTTCCGCGTTGATTACCTGGTAGTTGTTGGAGAGGTGAGGCTAAATTGTTCTTTGACGGACTCCGGCAGGATCTTGCAATCAGGGCAGTCCCTCAAATGGGGGGAAAGTTGGGTGTTTTTGTCGAACCCCTTTGACATGCCAGAACCCACAAATTGCCTGCACCTCCTCATTAATGATGGGACGTGGCTAAGGTGGTGCACCTTCTCCGCCCACTTCTTGTCGTCCTTGTCCACCTTCGGCCGGTAATGGTCGTTGTGGTATTCTATTGCCCACTCCACCACCGACTTTTCCCAGGCGCTCGTGACGATCCATTGGGTCATGGGGTTAACGTTCCCCCCCGGGAGCCTCGCTCGCTTCTTCTTTGGTTCCTGGCTGCTGCCGGCGACGTCCTCCGGCTGCAACAAGAGACGCAAGACATGTACTGACAAATAGGAGTATTTTCATCAGCGTACACATGTACAGGTACTCGTTAACATGTACATGTACGGCTAAGCACCCCAAGTGCCTATGACGCTCAAGTCCCACACTGGTACATGTACTCGTTAAGCACAAGGCGTGGTTAACCAGGGACAGGTGAAAAAATGAAGAAGTTTGGTGAAATTGAATGAAATGAGTTCTGGGTGGAAAATGGTCCTTTGGACCTTCCTCTTTCAGGATCTGTCGGGACTTCGACTATCCGGGACCTGGAAGTGCTTAAAATACATCTTTTCGCACACTCCTGCATTTACGACATTTTAGTAAAAATTTTCCGTTTTGCCATCAGGGGGGGGGGGTGTTCTGGTGAAAATCTTGCCATTTTCAAAATGAACCCCACTGTCATAATTTGTTGGGAATATGAAATCATACTTCAAAGAGACTAAGATTGATTTTTTAAGGCATATGCTAGGTCTTGAACCCAGTCGAATTGTCTTTTTTTGGGCTGTTTTGGCTTTATTTAGCCGTATCTTGAACAATCCTCTTGCGCATACTATTTTGACGTAAAAGGCTTATCTTCACATTTTGCACTTCTTCGATTCATTTAAAAAAAATTCCAGCATGCCTAGTTCAAATTTCCATTATATTTAATCACATGCTTTTTCATCTAAGAAGTCACTAAAAATTGTCTATTTTGTACATTGTTGATCAATTTTAAATGAAATGCATGCTTTAGAAGCTTGCCAATGATAATGTAATGGACATTT